TATGAGACTTGAAAAAGAAGTTCTCTTTCTATTTCAACTCTATATATCTATCTTGTGATATTAGTTTTGATAGATTGTTTGGTTTGCTTGCTTTACTGAAGAAAATTGTATTTCTCACTTCAAAGGGTAAGAAAATTTTATTTTTATTATTGTTCATTAATTATTTTGTCTACTTAAGTGGTATATGTGTTCACAATATGGTCGGTTGTACCACTTTTATTATTTAATGGTCGGTTTTATCACCTTTATTATTTAATGGTTGGTTTAACCACCTTTATTATTTAATGATTTAATGGTTGATTTTACCGCCTTTATTATTTAATGGCTGGTTTAACCACTTTTATTATTTAATAGTCTGTTTTATCACCTTTATTATTTAATGATTTAATGGTCGATTTTACCATCTTTATTGCTTAAATTATAATAGTTCATATGATCTTGTTGTTTCACTTAATGCCATTTTATTATTAAGATATACGCTTATTTTAATACTATGCTAAAATTGTGTTCGTATATTGTTATTACATCTAGTTATTCTGAAAATGCCAAACTCGACAAAGCTGTAATTCGTGGCCTTAGACATTTTCGGAAAAAATTATTTATCTTGGATTCTAGATGCTCAGATCCATTTAGATGCCATGGGTCTTGGAATCACAATTCAAGAAGAAAATGATGCATCATTACAAGATAAGGCAAAGGCTATGATTATCCTTCGTCACTGACGAGGCCGCTTGTGAACGCCAAAATAATGTAGTAAATGTGCGGTTCAAAAAAAGCCTTTTAGGTTAAGTTTAAATTTATAAAAACCACTATCACCACTACTACTAACGTAGCAAGAGTGAGTAGGGATCGTCCCAAGGGATTATACGTGTTGGAATTTAACTTCGACTCTAATGTACCAATTAATTGCAAAGAGAGGATTGATTGATTAAACTAAGATGTAAGAAAATTAAAATGCAATTAAAATAAACTAAGTTGAGATAGGGATTTAAGAGATATAAAGAGAGGACTTAGGGTGTTGGAACCACCACTAAACTCATGTAATTAACCACTTCCTTTCCATTAATGGGGACTACATTGTTGTGAACAAAATGCGACTACCAAATGCAATATTAAGCATAGACCATCAAATTCATGTATGAATTGTCTACCTAACCAACAAATAAACTAAGTGTAGAACAACCCATCAAATCTAAGCATGACCCATCAAACTAGTCACAATTGTAGCACACATCAATCCAGAGAATCATGAAATTTGTAATAATAAGCCATGGAATATCAAATCAAGTATAGATTGTCTACCTACCTATAAGCATGAATTAAATTGTAGTACAACTCATCAAGCATAAGAATAATCCATCAAATTAATTAACAAACCCATTTAATGAAAACCCATGCTTAGCCATCACTAAATCCTTAATTAATCACACATACACATGCAACCAACATAAAGAATCTAGTGTAGAGATTAATTCCCAAATAATTACACATAAGACAACATGTAATCAAATAGAGAATCAATAGAAAGAATTAATCCATATGAATCATGTGAGAAATAATTCATAATTTAATCACACATAGACATGTAAATAAACTAGAGAATTAATAGGAAGAATTAAACCATAGAAATCATAGAAATATACCAAGATTCATTAAATTCACAAGGCTAGAACACTAATCACAACAATATATATAAATCCCCAAAAATAGAAATACAAGGGTTTAGATTACACAAGATTTAGGGCTCATCCAAGCCCTAAGTGTAGATCTAGCCAATCATGGAGGAGATAGATGTGGTCATGGAACCCTCAAGGGTAAGCTCCAAACATAGTTCCATCTTCTTCTTCTTCTTCTTTGAAGCTCTAGAGAGAGAGAGAGAATGGATCTAGAGATGTGTTCTTGAGATGTGCCTCCACTTCCCTCTTCTCTTCTAACCCTAATTTCTAACTTTCTAGAGAAGAATATAAAAATTATAGTGTAAAAGTAAAATAATAAAAAGCTTCTTTACAAAATGGGTCACTTCCTTTTATATAGAAGGTCATTTTCTTAGCCTTTAAGTCAGAAATATAGCCCCAAAAATATCTAATCCCGTATTATGTGGTAGGTGGGAGTTCGGACGCTCGCGGGAATAAGAGCTAGAAAGGTCTCCAGGTGATCGAGGGGATCTTTGGTCCCATCGAAGCTTTCGAATGAGGGCATCATGAACTTGCTAGGCAGGGAACATTTCATAACAGGGGGCTGAATGGCAAGTTGGTCCTCTGCACCAGGTCATCTATGGCGGCAAAACTTTTCCCTTTCATAGCCTGCATTACATCTTCCATTTTCGCTTTGAGATCCTGAATCTGTTGGTCGAAATAGGTAACTTTTTATGTTTTTTCCTTAATGCAGAAGGTTGTGCCTGTTTGAGATCGGGGATTCCGAGAAGGCGGGGAAGGAGGTTCTCTGTGTCAATTTCCGACTTGGCTTTGTTCTGCCTTGAACTTGTGAGAAGGATTGTTTTCTCGGTCCTCCTCGTGTTGTCCCCCATCATTTAGATTGGGAGGATATGGGTCGGACAATTCTTGTTGAGGTGGTGGTCCCGCTGGGATAAGATGTTGCAGGATCTCTGCATTTTGTTGGATCAACTGGTCCATACCCTGATTTAGAGTTTGGACCTGTAGTTCTAACGCTGCAAGCTATTCCTGGTCATTCGGGACGTCTGGGTGTTCACCCGACCCTTCTCTTTGACTGGATCTCTGCAACAATGTTTCTGTTCCAGTTACCATACTGGATCGCAAGTGTATATACCTAACCGAGTAATTGATTTAAGGGAATCGTCGTTCCCACAGACGGCGTCAACTATTGAGGGTGAAATCCACGCAGTTCGATACGACATCGTTTTCCTGCAAAGAAGAGAATAGAAGATCGATAAATCTTGACGGCACCGGTGTGGTGCCTGCCAAGATCTTTCCAACGATCAAGTCAGTCACCGGAGGTTTAAAAGAAAGGCAGGGATTTAAAAATAGTTTTTTGTCGTACCTTTATTGACTGGTAGGATCTCATTTTTATAGTCGCTCTCCCTCTGTTCATTTGCAGGATCAGAGGAGATCCATTTGTGTGAGATCAGAGGAAATTCACTTTTGCGAGATCAGAGGAGATCCGTTTGTTGCCAGATTTGTCAGAGATATGATTTAACTCATTTGACTTCCTTAAATTGTGCCAAGGTTATCCTTACCCTGTTATACCACGTCATCTTTCATTATCCTTGATAATGAAATATTATCATTCTTATCCGATAGAAATATCATCGTTCGAAAGTCGAAAAGGTCTGGCGACTGGTCAATACTTAGTTGTCTCTATCGTTAGATCAAGGTAGGTTATGTTTATTTTTCCCTATCACCGGATATCTCTCTAATCCATATGAAGCTTAATCATAAACAGGCTATATGTTTACTTGTGGTGGCACGGCTATCTCATGGCGCTATAATAAATAGACAATGATTGCCACTTCCTCAAATCATTCTGAGATACTCGCAATTCATGAGATAAGCAGGGAATGCATTTGGTTGCGATCCATAATCCAACACATTAGAAAAACATGTGGCCTCTCATCAATAACAGATAGCCCCATAATATTATATAAAGATAATGTCGCATGCATCGCACAGATGAAAAAGGGTTATATCAAAAATGATAAGACCAAACACATCTCACCAAAATTCTTTTACGCATATGAACGCTAAAAGAATGATGAAATTGATATTCGGCAAATACGTTCATGTGAAAATTTAGCAGACTTGTTCACTAAGACACTGCCAACCACGATATTTAAGAAATTGGTACACAACATTGGGATGCGACAACTTAAAGATCTTTGGCATTGATGAGGGGGAGTACTTAATTGACATATACTATACTCTTTTTCTTTCGCTCAGGTTTTGTCCCAATGGGTTTTCCTAGCAAGGTTTAATGAGGCAGTTCTAACCTATGCAATACTCTTTTATGACACAAGAATATTCTACTTTTTTTCCTTCGCTATAGTTTTTTCCCACTGGGTTTTATTTTTTTATTTTTCTAACAAGGTTTTAACGAGGCATGTTCTTAGTGTAGTATTGTGAATCCCAAAGGGGAGTGTTATATATTATAGTGGGGCCCACAAGTATATTATATCTTTGCAAATGGATATGTGAATTGTAGGCCTACAACTTGTATTAGTAATGATTACACCAAAATGATATGTACGAAGGAATCATATCTGATTGGTGTAGTGATGCAATGGGTGGTGAACGCCGAAATAAAAGGCCCCAGGTATTTAGAGTACAAATTGTAATTGTACACTACTTCAGTCGGTTGGATGTCTATAGATATATATAACCAACATGCCAGTTTTTTAGCGGTACCACGCTCCTACTTTTCAAAGGAAGGTCAGGAGTTTAAGCCTCGGTAGAGGCATGTGTGTGTGAATACCAACTAAGGAAAAAAAAGAAAAAAAAAAGAAAAAAATGCCTATATATATGTGTGTGTCTATCCTTTGATAATGAGATAGAATGGAATCTACTCAAATTTTCTCTTCAATATATTCTTTCTATTATAGCAAGTTAGTTCTCATATTTCTTTCAGAATAAAACAAAATTAACTTTATATTTATAGAATACATGTCTTGTAGGCTTGTAGGGCTTTTTTGGACTAAAAGTGAGGTTTCAAGGGCAATGCTGTGGTCCTATTCTGGTGGATACCAATGCTGCTTTCTTCCTCTTCCCTGTAGCCACACTAAAATTGCTAAAAAGAAGAATATGCAATCAATCATAAGCATGTCCAGAAGCTCACAAAAAACAATTCCTCACAATGACACATGACAACATTTGGTTTGGTTTTGCACATACACAATGACTTTTTTGAACTGTATTCACCACTTCATCACAAAAATAAAAAAAAATGAAAATTTCTTTTGTCGTCGGCTACTAAATTTTTTTTTCATTATCATTTTGTACATCTAAAAGGAACTGAGGCCAAGACAAGGATGCTGAATGCAAGTTCTATAGTAAATCATTTCCCAACATGTATACTTATTATTCTTTCGAGAACGAAAACGAATCACTGAAAATACAACTTGCATTATGACGATAAATCGCGAACATGAAAAAAAAAAAAAAAAAAAAACTAATGTAAGATAAGATATCTATTAACGAAAGCAGCCTTGCATAATTGTCTTTGTTGTTAGTTTTAATGTTGTTGCTGTTGCTGTTGTTGTAAGTTGATTAACTTGAAGTATGCTCCATCCCGGTTCTCTACAAGAGTAGAGTGAGTCCCTTGCTCTATTATTTTCCCATCTTGTATCACTGATATCTGGTCTGCATTTTTGATTGTGGACAGCCTATGCGCCACCATGATCGTTGTTCGGTTCTTCATCAACCTGTCTAAAGCTTGCTGCACCACTCGCTCTGATTCCACATCCAGAGCACTAGTGGCCTCATCCAGCAGCAGGATTGCCGGATTCTTTAGAACAGCTCGGGCAATGGCTACTCGTTGCTTCTGGCCACCGGACAGTTGCACCCCTCGCTCTCCAACTTTGGTTGAGTAGCCCTCGGGAAGGGCACTGATGAAGCTGTGCGCGTTAGCTAGCTTAGCTGCTTCGATTACTTCTGCTTCCGAGGCTCCCTCTTTTCCATAGAGGATGTTTTCGTAGATTGAAGTAGCGAAGAGAGCAGGCTCTTGTTGGACTAGACCAATGTGTTTCCGGAGAGATTTGATCTTAAGCCTCTTGATGTCTTTCCCTACAAGAATATGCAATGCTTGTTGGACTAACCTCTCAATAATAGAATGAAACTTTTTGTAAAAAACAAGAGTCATGTAAGCCTGTAGAGAGCACTTACCATCGATCATCACTTTCCCTTCTGTTGGATCATAAAATCGGAGAATGAGAGAGAGCACAGAGCTCTTACCGGAACCACTTTGTCCCACTAATGCCATACTTTTCCCTGCACGCACTCTTACGTTAAAGTCCTTAAAGATCACTACATCTGGCCTTGAAGGGTAGCTAAACTCAACACCCCTGAGCTCGATTGTACCCTCCACCGAATTTAGCTCTTCCCCAACATCACCAGTGATTTCTGTCTTCCTGTCCATCACTTCAAAGACTGATGCAACCATTTGGTTCCCTTTTAGAATGTCTGGTGCCATTGCCAAAGTCTCGCCCATGGCTAATGCCGTTACAATTAGAACCATAAACGATTTCATGACAGATTTAAAGCCACAAAGCCCCTTCCCCATCAGAACAGAACCATACCTACACAAAATTAAACAAGACAAAGCATTGAAGTTAATGCTCTTTCATCAAACAAGTTAAGAATAACCTATTTCTTTGGGACATGAACCCTCGACCTTCTACTTTGGAAGGCGGGGGCTTGGTTACTTCACTACTGTTTTGGGAACTGTTTGGAACATCAACATCTGTAGAAATTCACCGTTTGAAGATGACCATGTCATATGTCAAATATTCATGTCAAGAATTGATACGAGTCTACTGTCCTTGTATTACCAACATTTTCCATGGCAAAGATTAAAAAGCAGCAGTAAAAGCCACATACCATAAGGCTAGGCCATAGGATGAGAAGATGAAGAATTGGGAGACTCCATAGAATATGCCGGCAATCTGACCACGAGTAAATGAACGTCTTGAAGGCTCAACAAGTTCACGAGCATAAAGGTCGAGTATTTTTTCCTCAGCGCAGAATGCTGCAACAGTGCGCATGTTACTCACAGCCTCACCGGCAAGCATGTTAGCTTTGAGATAGGCTTTGCTCAAGTTGCCGCCATAGCCCTTCATAAAGAGTTTCTGAAACGACACAAAAAAAAAAAAAAATCAATGCTAAATGATAGGAAATGCTTGTCTTTAAATCTGCAGCTGAAAAATTGGAACAAAATGAGACCTCACTAATGTGACCGCTGATGATCAATGGATATGTGGCCATGACAACGAGCGTGAGCCTCCAGTTCAAGATAAAGGCAATGATAAATGAGGTGGTGACCAGACCAAAATTCTGTATGAGAATTGTAGCACGATCAACGACAACAGTTCTCAATAATGTTGCATCACTCTCTAAACGGGATGCAAGCATGGAACTCGTGTTGGTTGTGTCATCAAACCACCCAATTTCATTTCGCAAAATGGCTGCAATCAGATATCAAAGGAAATATAAGCAAATAAAGATCTTTCAAGATCCAAAATCAGAACACTCACTTTTATATTTAAGGATAATTGAACAGCACTTGAATTAAATGTCATTATTATTATTTTTGTTGTTCTTGCAATCTAAAGGCTCCAAGCAATGAGGAATAATAATAATAATGAATTTATAACCAAAAACTAATTATAGACATTTGAACAACATTAGTTCTTCAAATCTTTGAAATAATCTACCCTTGCAAGTAGCAATCAGTATTATTTATTTATAATAGGAAATATGGTAATGCTAGTTTAAAGATGGTTATGGTCTCATTTTTACCAGAAAACATCATTTCACGCACACGAAGAGTAAGCCGCTCTCCCATGACTCCAAAAGAAAGATGTGTGATGGCATGAACAACGACAGTTATAGCAGCTCCCCCACAGAAGAGGAATGCGATCTTCTTGACTTCACGTTGTGTTGTTTCCCAGTCCATGTAATAAGAAACAAGAGCCTGAGTGACTCCAAGAGCGAAAAGAGGCATCTGGGCTCCAGCTATAAGTGCACAAATGGTGCCAAAAACCCCATAATTCCAGTCAGGACCCACCATGGAATACAATCTCCTGGCGGAAACATGTTTTGACTTAAGACTGTCTGCAGCATCAGCACCAATTCTGCTGACAGATTCCTTATCAGAACGAAAACTTGCACCAAAGCTTGTTGTTGTTCGGGATAATTCGCGTGAATACTTGATGCTGCAAAAATAATAATTGAAAAGAAAATCAGATTATGATTCTTATAAATAGATTTGTCATCAAAGATATCGACATATGTTAGATGTGCTGTTGATAGGATAAACTCATTTGTGTCACTAGAAATTAATGCTCAGAGAGGAATATCACAATTGCTTACATTGGGCCTACATAATTCTGACACTCATGGAGGTAACCAGTGTATATCTTCAAAAGATACTCTAGAATAAAAATTAAAATTAAAAAAAGAAACCACATTTATTTATTTATTTGAGAATTCTATAATAAGAAGTATATTGTCAACATGTCACCAGTTTAATGCTCTATGTGTACTGCAAACTTAATGTTGGTGAAATACTTCAAAAATTATTTTCAGACCAAGTTATAAATATCAAATGGAGCAAAACTGCCTTCCTCATTTCTGGTTAATGTAATCTTGACAATGTTCCAATTAATAATCCAAAAATAAAAATGCTGCAGAGTGTGAATACCTGAGTCCCCGTCCCATGGTAGGCCCTCGTGAGGAGGCGCGATGCAAGGAAGCTGTCTCTTGAAGTTGCACGAGCGATGCATAAGCACTATTTGGTTTTGAAATGAGCTCCTCATGGCTCCCTGTTTCCACTATTTTCCCATTTTGAACAACAGCTATCAGGTCTGCATTTCTAATGGTGGAAAGCCGATGGGCCACAACTATGGTTGTCCGTCCCACCATCACACGGTCAAGTGCCTCCTGCACACTCTTCTCAGACTCGGCATCAAGTGCACTTGTAGCTTCATCCAGCAGAAGAATTGAAGGATTCTTCACTATTGCACGCGATATTGCAATTCTTTGCTTCTGTCCACCGGATAATTGTATCCCTCTCTCACCGACCTATGAATGAACTTCTAGTATCACTCTTTTCTTAAAGATAATGTATGCATTAACATAGACAATGCAGTATGAAGTACTCTTGCATATCACTGTTGAGGTGATACAGAAGAGAAAGAGATAGGTTTTGTTTATTTTTCTGAAGACAAAATTATCTTCTCAAACTGAAATCCTCAGACTCTATATTTTCAATTTCACCATTCTTTTTTCTTAATTCTGTTACCAAGAGATGGATGAAAAAGAAGTAAAATTGGAATTATACAAGTCACAATTATGATTCTAAAAACAAAATAGTTGAAAGACTATAAATCTCCTACTTTTTTTCCTCCATCTTCTTGGCACACATAAAGTGCCGTCAGAAAGGTAATTGGAAACAGAAAATATGCTACGTGTTAATCGGCCTTAATGTTGTTACATGCATAAAAACATTATGTAGTTCCAAACAAAAGCAAAGTAAATCAATACCTGAGTTTCAAATCTTTCAGGAAGGTTGTTAATGAAAGCTATTGCCTCTGAAAGTTTTGCAGCTCGTGAGATTTCTTCGAGGGTAGCATCATCTTTCCCATATAGAATGTTCTCCCTGATGGTTGTAGCGAAAAGGGCTGGCTCTTGATTAACCAAACCAATTTGTTGCCTGAGCCACTTGAGGTCAAGCTCCCTGATATCAGTCCCATCTAATAGTATCTGTCCAGCTAGGGGCTCATAGAAGCGCTCGATCAAAGATATAACTGTGCTCTTGCCAGAACCACTTCCTCCCACAAGGGCTACAATCTTCCCTGCAGGGATATCAAGATTGAACTTATTGAAGATCATCACATCGGGACGGGATGGGTAGCTGAAACACACATCCTTGAATCGGATGTTCCCATCCAGTTTGTCTAGCTTCCTGACGTTTTTTGAGCTGGTTTTGTTAACTGTATTCCTCTCAATCATCTCGAATATAGGATAAGCAGATGCTTTTGCTCGGATGAAAGCGGAGATGTCTGGTGCAGCCTGTCCTAGTGACCTGAGAAGTAATGAGAACTTATAATGTTTGTGATGAAGCTTGGATTCAAAAGCATTTTACACAGTAAAAGATCAATCACTAACTTTGCAGATCATACTGATATAACTTCAACAGTTATGGCAAAAGCACACTGTAACTTCCTTCATGTTCTTTGCTGTCTTCTCACTACATTTATCAAAAACCATGGCATCTACCAGTCTTTGGAAAGGCAAAAAAATGGTTTTCTCTTTCTGTAGATGCATCCAGAAATGTTCGTCCAGTGTTACTCAAAGCATCTCATTGTATCTGAATTATTTACATGAGAAAACCTATGGTTATAGAACCACTTTGATCTCATAACCTAGTATTTTTCTTTGGAAGAAAGCAGCAACTAAAAAAAAAAAAAAAACCACGACATCATGATTCTGTCAGCCCTTACTCACATAAATCACAAAACTGCCAAAAAATTTTCGTACTTTTTTCACTATGATTTATCCAAATTTTCTGAATCCTTCAACATTCAATTCCCAAATATGATCAAAGTCCATGCATATTACTCGGATATTAATTTTCTTGTTCAAAGCAGCCTAAATAACCAATTTTATGAGACTTAAACAACATCCTTCCACAAATGACTAATAACCTCATATCAAATGCTACTAGGAAAATGAATTCATTCTAATGTAGAACTCAATTTCCATGAAGTATTACTAAAAAAAAAAAAAAAAAAAAAGCACCAACATGGACGTCGATATATGCTCATTTTAAGTCCCATGAGAAACACTAATGAATAATTTGATTACCATGTAAAATACATTAATGGAACAATTTAATAATCTTGTGACATGAAAATGTGGTGTGAGGAGGCAGACTTACAGGCCAGCGATAACAACATTGAGCATGGTGGTGAAAGACTCTCCTCCATTGGCAATGTGCTTGTGAACAACAATGCTAGTGAACCAAACAAGCAACGACCACGAAAGGAAAAGGACACAGTGCAAGGTGCCTAGCCCCAAACCCTTGGCTAGCCCTGCTTTCCTCCCATATTTGTAAGTGTTCAAGAGTGCATTGCTATATGACTTTACTGCCTTCTCCTCCCCTGCAAATGCTTGGACAGTTCTAACGTTTCCGATCACCTGAAAATTCACAAAATTAGCATACAATTTTTTACAACAGTAAAGATGCACCCGCGAGGAGAGGAAGATTGATTTGCAAAGAGGCATAAGAGACAAAGGGGTCGGCCAAAACTAAAATGAAATGAAGTGATAAGAAATGATTTCCAAATATTAAATCCAGTAGAAGATATGGCCTATAATAGAAAAGAGTGGAAAATGAGAATCCATGTAGCCCACTTCTCCTCTTCTATCCTAGGGGGGGGGGGGGGGGGGGGTATGTTGAGAAATTCGTCATGCTTTAGTTTCTTCAGTTGCTGAAGGAAATGGAAATTGGACGACCTCCTTTTGAATGGAATAAAGGCAAGAATGATGATGATAAATTTTTACAACAATATACATAAAAAGGAGTCCTTATTCACATCTGGGAGGCACCACTTAGTAAAAAATGTAAGAAACTCACAATCTTCTGCATTGAATAATGCTCCACTAGTTCTTAATTTTTTTAGATATCTTTCACCTAAATATAAAAAAGAATATCATGACCTATATCATTTGATAAATGACAGATTCCATTAAATTAAATAATTGTTTCAAAATTGTTAAATGATCAGACAATTTTTAATAATTTAAGAACCAAGTTTTAGCTTAGATTGTAGTGCTTAGATTGTAGTTCCTCCACCTCTCAAAGAAGAGATTGAAGGTTCTAGTTTCAATTGGTACAGAAGTAGGTGTATGAGTGTGTCTTACCTATTAAAAAAAATAAATTTCTAATTAACATACAATATAGTAAACAAATTTAGGAAAATGGTAAACATTTATAGGGAATTAAATGAAGACTACATGTCCCTCATCAAATCTTATTAACAAAGCTAATCAAATTATTGTCGTCCATCATCTAATATATTATCATGTTTTTTATGATAACCATTTTTAACAAGTCTTTTGAATGATAAACATGTAATCAAATGTTAAAGACTGATACTTAATTTGACATACGTATTGATACTTTTTTTTGTTATTGTTTTTGTTTTATGAAAAAAAAGGCAACCATCACACCACGTGTCATGATCTCTTTGAACGCATGCATGCATCACATGCTTTTATTGGTAACTTCATAGGCCAAATTTTTAGTTCTTTTAAAAGAGATAAGTCTCTTACCACCACGGCTCACTCTAAAGTAGAAGATTAATGATTCAAGTTCTTGTAAGTCACCAGGACTCACTCCAAAGTAAAAGATTGATGATTTAAATTCTCGTGAGTCAGGTGGGTATATGAGTTTATTGCAAAAAAAAAAAGAAAAAAAAAATGAGAGAGAGAGAGAGATTGGTCCCACAGTGAGACCTATGTAGAACCAACCTCACATGAGTCACAAGCATAACAAGTATAGGTTTTAATTTTAAGACAACTCCTTTATGCAAATAATGTCAAAAATTAATAGAAATGGAAATATTATCTCATGAACACCAGCAATGTGACAAGCCATTGAATTTGGACATGGGTCTCTTATAAAATGCTAAATGGATAAATGTATGAGAGGGACAGATATACAATATATATATACTCCTATATATATAGAGAGAGAGAACCTCTTCGGCTATTTCTCCAGCCTTGACATAGGATTTTCGGACCCTGGCAATAAGTCCAGTAGCTATATAAGCGTAGACACCACCAGCAATGGCAATCAAGGGTACAATAGACAATGTCACAAGACTGATCTGCCACACCCTTATGAACCCAATTGTAAATCCAGCTATGAATCGGCTAATGTAGTGCATGAAGTTCCCCACCTGCATCAACCACCCTTTTTAAGATCAAACATTAATGTGTGTGTGTGTGTGAGAGAGAGATTGTCAAGTTGTGAGAGAGAGAGAGAGAGAGAGGGGTTGACACTTGACATACATAAATTGTAACTCAGAACTCAGTATCAGAAAAAAGAGACTAGTATAAAGGTATTTAATTGAATAAAATGATTTTCTATCTCAAATTCAATAAAATTATCTTGGTAGTTACTACAGTATTTATTTATTTTCCATCTTTAGTTTTACCAGATTACCCCTTCTGTGGTAACTTAGCTAGTTAGAAAATCAATATATATATATATATATATATATATTCATCTATCAACCCACAAAATCATAATATTAGTGCAAAATGTGCCACACCTACTTTATCAAACAATATACTTCAACTTTCCCCAGATTTATTTTAAAATTTCACCGTTACTAAAATAGATTTCACAAATTTAATTGTGAAAGGGACGTACTGAATCCAAATATACGATGGTCAATTCTACACTACTTATATATAATTAATTAGTAAATAATTGAATTTGTGGTACGGAATATTATAAAAGTAGTTGACCTAAAGGGTATTTGAATAGATTTTAAGGATTTTTTTGGAAAATTTTGAGCTTAGAATGGGAGGCTTGAATGCACACAAGGTGCCCTCACATTATAGCAATTCTAGACTTGTAAAAGCCTTCTTTGCAAAAGTATAAGAAATTTTTTGGCCAAAGGTTCTAATATGTTATATACATAATTACACACACAAACATATGTATACATATGTGTGTATATTACTACTGAAAATACTAAAGTACCCCTTTGTTTATAACTATCTTTTAATACTAAAGTACTATTCCTTATGATCATGGTCCCTTCCCTTAGAATCTAAATGTGCATAAACATCTTACATCCTTTTTTATGGCACATGTTCTATTGGTATAGCAAAAAAAAAATGGAATGAGGATATTTTTGTAATTTACCCAAAGTAATAAATTGATCAGGTGGACCAAGATGGGCCTCTTCCTGGGCTATATTCTATAATTCTAAGGGCATTGAAGTTTTTCCCTCTGTTATATCTGCCTAATTTAAGACCATCACATGTCAAATGTCAATTCCACATAAAGCCACTTCAACCTCTGACGGCCCAACCAAACACAAACTTTAATATACACATATATATCTACACTGTATATGTATAGTATATTACTGACCCATTAATGGTGAGTATAAAGGTCCAAGGAGCATTAACTGATCTCCAAGTGGTTTACAGAGAAATAAAAGCAGCCCATGGACTTTTAATTCTCTAGAGATCAACACTAGGAGGATCCCACCCTCTCTTTTACAAAGAAAATTCCAAACCCTAATTAATTTAGTAAGAGATTTAGAAATGTTTTACTCCAATTTTAGAAATATTTTTCACAAAACACTCTGTCATTAAATTACTGTCACACTCTTTTAAGTAAAGGCATTAAAACCCATTAACGGCGTAGAAATTTTGGGATAAAGGAGAGGTCAAAAGAGGTTGAGAGGTTGAGGAAGACTTTAATTTCAACACCAACTCTATTTTCTATTTTAAAGCTGGAAAATGATATTTTACGCTATTTGTAGACCAAAAAAGACACACAACTGACTTATTAATTGATTTAAAAAAAAAAAAAAAAAGAGTTGACATTTTATATGAAATTTAAGTACCCACTTATGTTATGAAATTACTCTGATACCCTTTATTTTATTAAAAAAATATTGAAATATATTAATTGAATTTTCTACCGTTAGTAAATCAGAATGAACGGTTTTGGATAAAATGCTCAACGGGGACGGAAATGGAATGGAAAAGGGCCGCTCCATCCCCATATAATATATTTGTTTTTGGGGAAATGGAAATCCAAAAATATTGCCTTTATAAATGAAACAATTGGGGTTTAAAGGACTATATTACCCTTGCATTCAGACGGAAAACCCCCCAAATTTATCAAAAACAATCGTGTCCAAATCAGTGAACCTAAAAGGCCAAACAAGATGTGGGGAATTGTGTGTGTGTATATCTATAAACATATATATGTATGTGTGTTTATACATACCTTCTCAGAGATGGCATCTTGAACAACAAGAATGTCACTAGTAATTGCTGAAATCACTTCCCCTGTGGAAGCTTCAGTGTCAAAGAGACTAATGTCTTGATTCAACATAGACCTCAGATATGTCATCCTCATTTTTGCTGCTTGCCTTTCTCCAGTATGCATCCAACAAGCCACCTCTATACATACATACATATATATATATATATATATACACACACACACACATAGATACATACATATACACACCACAGTCTTGTCATTAAACTTGAAAAAAAAAAAAAAAAAAAATAGAAACAAAAACTAGAAGAATGAATCAATAAAGAGATTAATTTATATGTACCAGTCCATGATGAAAATAATATAGCCACACTGAGATACACAAAATCCAATGAATACTGCAAAACCAAATTATAATAAACAACCATTAAGCTATGATAATCAAGGCACCTCTCAACATCATAAAATTATAAAATATTACCAAAAGAGTCAAGAGAGAGAAATTGAGTGTTCGAACCTTGTTAGGGATAACTTTTAAATTAAAACGAAATAAAGACTAAATTTTCGATTGTGGGTAACACTATTTTCACTATAAAATTAAATATATGAATCAACCTATATCGAATTCGTACTTGTTAGTTCGAGCTTTTATCATTGCCCTAAGTATATAGATTAAGATAATTTGAAGCTGTTGAGAATTAGCTTCGAATTTGAATACCTTGGCAACTTTATGAGAAGCTTCTTTGGGAAAGAGATAAGCCATGCCGATGATGTTTATTAATTTTCCGAAGAAAATAAAGAATACAGGGACCGAAGCGCCATGAATACAAGCACCAATGGATCCAACAAACATTAGAAAGTAGTCATAAGCATCTGCAAATGCAAAGAGTTTGAGAAGTGGGACTTTGTGAGCTTTCTTGGCTGCTTCTTCTCCTTCTTTATTCTTTTCATCATTTGAAGTGTCACCGTTGCCGGGAATTGGACCTTGGAAGCTCATTTTTGGGCAGCAAAATGGGAGGGGAGAGGCTCTCACTTGGATTATGTCAATCTGTGTGTGTGTGTGTGTGTGTGTTAAAGAAGAGAGGTGGGAAAAGTTTTGTGAATGTGATTTTGAAGAGCTTGAAGGAAATAGGTTGTTTATGTGGAGTGAATGGTTAGGTGAGTCATTTAAGGCTGAAGTGCTAAACTTAGTTGCTTGACTGTTATCTTGGGAGAGAGTAGCAAATATGATGTAATGACACCTCTCTCTCTCTCTCAAATTGCAATAAATGGAGGAAGTTGGGATAATGTTACACAACTACCTGTTTGAACTTGTATCCATGAACATAAAGATATAGAAGCATATATATATATATATATATATATATATATTGTTAGCTACTGGCTAATGAAGTGTTTCTTGCTTCTCAACTGTTGGATGTTATTATGAGGGTGAGCGTCAATTTGTTAGCACAGTTCTTTACTAGAGACAGATAATCCACACCCTCCCACCGTATAAGATGTCATGAGAAATAAGTTTGTATATCCAACAATTACAGTTGTATACCATCAATTAATTAATTTAAAGTCAAAAGTGGGACCTGGCCCCCTTGATAACCATTGATGTGTATTTCTAACAATTTTCATTTAAGCACCACCAATATCACATATAAGATGATGAATTATATTGGATAAACAAAATATAGTGTATAGTCACACGTGGGGATGTCAAAACCCTCGAGATGCTAGGCGTGGGGAATGTGTGGTAAAAATTTCGTAATATTTGGCCATGTAGTTATTTTTCTAAAAATCTTTAGAGTACCTTCAGCTTAGTTTGTGTCATAGTTAGAGAACTAATTGTTATAATTTTGTTTGAGTAGCTTTCAGACATTGAAAATTATGAAACTCTGCAGTGTTATACTTACATGAGTCTATTTTCAAAAAATTAAGGCCTCAAAATTTTATCAGTTTTGTAAATTAGCACCACAGTCAGAGTTTGTCACACTGTCTAATTTCAGCACAATCAGCGGGTCAACCTTTGATCTAAAAACTGATTTCATTGGCAAAGCTTTAGCGGTTGAGAGTGGCTCGGTCACATTATTCTCTGAGTCTAGTTTTCGAAGAATTTTAATTTGCTCGTTCCAGTTAAAATTGAATTTCCTATGAATATTTGTAACCGTTGTGCAAAATTCTTTCCAATATGAAACAACACTTGTCGATTTGCTTGTTTTGTGCTCGAATAGTGTTTCTCCACCACCAAGTATGAATGTAGGATCTATTATTTGAATTTTAGGATTGTTTGTTACGCGATTCATTGTTGTTGCGGGTTGAGGTTTCCGAATCATTATTTGTCAGAGCTTATAGTTTATAAGGGCATGACACATTAAGTACCCCACACGTTTAGAACAGTTGTTAATGATTTTGGAAGGAAATGAGACATAGGGGAGGAAGGGGAAAAGTCACTATGTTCCTCTCCACTTATTTATATGGATGAATTACAATTTTGCCATTATATGTAAAATATATTAAAAAAAATATTAAGCAAACTCTACGTTATCATATTCCAATTGGCTTTCGCCGCTCAACCCAGATTTCTCTCAGATTTCATATCTCTTTGCCTCTCTTTTTCCTCGAATCGCATCCCACTTTACGAGTTAATCCAGAAGACCAGTGAACAAAATTCTAAATATAATTCCTCTCTTAGATTGGTTCCTACAATTTCGGTGCTAAGATTTTCAGCATTAAACCACTAGGCAATTCTAAAATTAGCGATCTTTAGGTTAATTATGGTTCTTATCAAGAAAAATATCATTGTTTTTAGTAGCATCCTTTTATATATTTTCTTATTTGAGAATCTCTATGTATTATTCTGACATTCTAGGATAATATTAAATTCCAAGTTTCAATTGATAATTATAATATTATTTATTTTTTATTTGTATAAGAAAAAATGAATTATTACCATGATTAAAAAATTGTTTCATTATTTACATTTGTTATGTTCAAAATAAAATTTCAAATTAAGGTACTCTCCTAATCTCTATCTCTTGCGCGGAGACAAGAGGAGTTCTCCTAAACGGGATCACGAATGGGGTTTCGGCACCCCTAGGGATGGCAAAATCCCTATACTATTGGGATTGGCTTTGTTTAGGGCGGGTTTGGGGACATAAATGGGGATGGAGATGGGGTATATTTTTTAAAACCTAGCTAGGGCGGGGCAAGGCGGGGATGGGGTAAGGGTAAACCTAGGGGTGGACAAATAATTCGTGAATCCGATTCGATCCTTGCAGATTAGATCGTATTGCTACATCCACGGATCAGTGGCAGATTAAAAAAAATCGATTCCATAGTTCGGATCGGATCATGGATTGCGCTGTTAAAAAATCGATCCGATCCGTGAAATTTATATATATACATATATTTTCAGATAGTATATTAGTTAATTTAATTAGTTAACGATAATTTAATGGATTCTAATGATGTATTAATTAATAATTATTTAAATATATGAATTAATATTAATATATTAAAATTTTATCTATTGGGTTATGGTTAAAAAATAAATAAATAATAACTAATATTAATTATAAAAATAATAATGAATAATTTTAAAAAAACTAAATCCTCAGATCCGATCCGTTATTACACGGATCCGATCCGACCCGACTTGTGGGATAACGGATCGATGGCGGATTAAGATTTGTCTAATCCGTTGGGAGCGGATCGGATTATGATTGATGTCTAATCCGATCTGTGGCCACCCCTAGGCAAACCCTCCCCGCCCTTCCCCAATTATGGTATAAATCTACTAAATTGCCCTTACAGATTATGATATATTACTAAATTAGATTAAGTATATATATATATATATACACTTTTCTGAAACTCGAGCCCTAGCCCTAGCCCCTCATTCCATTTCACGGTCTCTACACTTGAGAGACAGAGAGAAGCGCGAGCGATTACAGATCTATTTCTTCGAGACCGACAACAAGATCAATCCATTTTCGTTGATAATCCATCATCGTCACCGATAACCCATCAAACCATCATCCTCGTGCAATATACTATGATATATTATTATATTACTAAAATAGGTTAAGTATATATATACACAGGAGGAAACCTTAACCCTTATTTCGTTTTATGTCTCAAGTCAGAAAAAAAGAGAGCCACAACTGCACCCCACCCCGAACCCACCTCGTTTCCATCCCAGTCACATAAACAAAATCAACTTGTATAACATTATTCTTTGATAAATCAATCAATTTTAGTAACTCAAGTTTAGGTAAATTTGTTAGCCTATGTTTTCACGTCTACCTTAATGTTTGTTAGGTTTTCTCATTTAATCCATGCTCTTCTTAATAGGAATTGGTGGTGGGATTTCCCATTACATTATTTGTTATTGAAAACTAAGTCCTTAGAGAGCTTGAGCAGGAATCTTTTTTGATCATGGTAGAGCTAAGCTCGGACACTCATGTAAAAACTCGAGTCAAGTTTGAACTAAGCTTGAACACCATTGCTACATGATCGAGTTGATCCCGAACAAATCTTACTTGGCTCGGCTTATTTAAAACCCTATAATTCTCACATGTACCGAACAATAATCGACAAAAATTCTCCAAGAATGGCACCAAGCCGAGAGGAGTTTTGCTAAACGGGATCGAGAATGGGGTTTAGGTGACCCACCCCAAACTAGTGGCGGAACCGGGGGGGGGGGGGGGGGGGGGGGGGCTGCTTGAGCCCCCCACCCAAAAAAAAAAAAAATTTTTTTTAGTATATATATATTTAGCCCAATGTTTTAAAAAAGAAAAAAATAGTAGTAGTATTAGCCCCCCAATTTTAACCCATCCAAACAAGCCCAATATCTAAGCCACAATTTTAAAACAAAGGCCCAACGAAATAGACCCAAGCCAAACAAGCCCTAAACAATCACTAAGCCAAAGTAAAGAGAACTCCTAAATTTCTAATCTTGCACAAATTAGAGAGCTTAATCATTCTCTTCCTCTAAAGTCTAACCCTATTTCCTCTAAAAATTTTCAAGTCTTTAATCTTTCGATCCCCAATTCCCCCTTATTTAATATTAGCCCCCCCCATTAACAATTACTGGATTCGCCCTTGCCCCAAACCCACCCCTTTTCAATCCCAGTCACACAAACAAAATTGACTTGTATAACATTATTCTTTGATGAATCAATTAATTTTAGTTACTTGAGTTTAGTTAAAATTATCATTTGGTTGGAAGAGAATTTGATAACACGTGTTTTCACGTCTCCTTGTTGTTCGTGTTTTCATATCTCCTAATTGTTTCGTGTTTTCACATCTCCTTATTATTTTTTAGGTTTTCTCATTTTATCTTTGTCTTTTTAATATGAATTGTTGGTGGGATTTCTCATTGCATGATTTGTTATTGAAAACTGAGTGCTTCGTGAGCCTGAGCGGGAATCTTTTTCAATCATGGTCAAGCTGAGCTCGGACACTCGTGTAAAAACTTAAGTTGATTTTGAACCAAGCTTGTACACCATTGCAAGAGTGGCACCAAGCCGAAATGTGATTTAGTGATGATCTAATGCTGCTTTTGGTGTGCAAGATTGTAATGAAATGAGAATGAAATGGTCATTCTCATTCTATTGTTTGGTTGTAAATATGAAATGTGTACGAATGGAATGATAATAACCATTTTAATGTTTGGTTGGACTAATTTAAAATTTAAAATGGAATATATTTCAAATTGAGTTCTCCAAAATATCCCTCTTAGTAACAAATAAATTAAATTAACAAAATGACATTCTTCTATAATTTTTTAAAAATAAATGGTGGTAGTGGGTGTGACAATGGTGGTAGAGGTAGAAAATGGTAGTTGTGTAGATGGTGGTGTTAGAAGGCGGCGGTGACAATGGTGGAAAGTAGCGGCGACGGAAGTGGTGGAAGGCGGCAATGGTGTTGGTGGTGGTGGAAGGCAGTGGTAGTGTTAGGCGGTGAAGGTGATGGCGGTGGAAGGTGGTGACGGTGGTTATGGTGGCGGTGGAAGGTGGTAGTGGTGCTGGAAGGTGGTGGCGGTGGAAGGTGGTAGTGGTGGTGGAAGGTGGTGGTGGTGGTTGTGGCGGTAGTGAAAGGTGGTGGCGGTGGCTGTGGCGGTGGTGGAAGGTGGTGGCGGTGGTGGAAGATAGCAGTGGTGAAACGTAGTGGCGACTGTGGTGGAAGGTGGTGGCTGTGGTGAAAGGCTGTGGAGGTGATAGTGGTGGCGATGGTGAAAGGCGATGGCGGTGGTGGGGGTGACTGCAATAAAGGAAGGAGGTGTGGGTGGTGAAAGGTGGTGGCGGTGGTGGAAAGCGATGG